ACATATGTCAGACTGACAAGAAGCCAAAGATTTTTTTGACAGGGAAGAAAGTTGGGCAGATGTAAGGCTAGGAATCATATATGAAACTCTCAATGTATTTTCGCAGATTAAGGCAGGTAACAGGAACAGAAAAGAAAGACAATTGAAGAAAGACATAGCTTACGCAGAGGCATGGCTGGAAGGAAATGCCTATGCTGTCCATTTTTTGTCTAACAAGCAAAAGTCCTTACTGCTGGAACTAGAGGCAGTAGAGATGCGGCGGCAATCACAGTGGCTAGAATGGCTTAGCCTGAGAGGAATTACTGGGTACGATAGGACGATGAAAATTATATTTAGATCCCTGATCCTCCAACAGTCAAAACCGAGGATGAGACAACTAAAGCACCCTCTCTCGACGGATCTTCCATTGGCAGAGTCAACACAATATATGTGTGTTTGTGCTTGGGAGTACTTCGCAGACATACTTACCTCCTGATACGCAAATATAGATTTTGACATGGATCTGACACTTAGCGTAAATTTTTGGGACAGAACGAATATTACTATCTCCCGTCAACGGCGTGAGGGGAGGTTAGATATGGATAGACCCTTCACAGTCGAAGAACTAGAAAAAGCGGCCAAGGAATTAAAGAAAGGTAAATACCCAGGGGCAGATGGGCTCCCAGTGGAGTTCTTTTTGGAAACATGGGACTCACTGGGACCCTCCCTTACGGACATTTGTAACAGGTTATTAATAGGTGGGGCGTTACCGAGCGGACTTACAAAGGGGATTATAACTCTGATGTACACGAAAGGGGACAAAAGAGAGGTAAAAAACTATCGCTCTATCTCCCTGCTGAACGTGACTTATAAGATACTTGCTAAAGTCATGGCCCGACGTTAAGCTAGGTACTTACCCAACATAATAGGCCCGGAACAAAGAGCCTTTGTGAGGGGTCGCTCAATCCATGAAAATATCCTGACCACCGTTCAGGCTTTGGAGATTATTGGAGCTGAAAACAGAAACGTGGCCGCCCTCCTACTAGACATGGATAAAGCATATGATAAGGTAGGGCGGGCCTTCGTAGCCACCGCCTTAAAGAAAATGAACTTCGGGACAAATTGTATCAAAATTGTTAAGTCCATGTACTCGCAGGGACAGCAGTAGTGAGGGTCTCGTTAGACACTCCTAAAAATGCCTGTTTTTAGGATTGCGTCCTCCTTGCACACAGTCCTAAAACGAAATCGGAGATCGGAAATGTGACAACGGCGTTAGGACGAGTCCTAAAAGATTTAGGATTCCCCAGGCAAAATCGTCCTACTGAAAAATTTAGGATTCCCGCGTTTCACGGAGTTGTTGCGTCGCGCGCATGGCACTGTCGACACTCGTTGGTGGTCCAGAAGCGGTCCGTCGAGTTGGTGGTCGGACATCGGAGGTTTTCTGCGGCTCGACGCGGGCAACGGCCACACACAGTAGCCGTTGGCAGAGGGGGTGGAGCGCGGAGGGCCGAGCGTCGGCGGGTGGTTGCCCGTACTGGACCGTTGGGTCGCTTGCAAGATGCAGAGTGGGACGTCGACGTGCGCAGGACGACAGACGGAGCCGATTCGGGCAGCGCGCACCGCAACGGTCGAATTTCAAAAGGAAGGCGGGCGTGTTCGTCGTCTTCTGTGGTGGTTGTCCGCATATGAAGGTCGAGCGCCCCTGTCGCGGGCATGTCGGAATACACATCTGCAGTGGTCACGTGCGAGGGCGGCTGCAGAGGTGAATTTCATGGCTGACGTGCGGAGGAGATTGGCTCTACTGGTACTAGTTGTTGTCGTCTTCCTGATTGTCGTCTTCCTCTACGTGTGTTTTTCGTGGCGGACGTGGAAACAACAACGCAAGAGGAGGGCTTCGGCGAGACGGGCGGCATGCAAACGTCTAATGGCGGGCATGCAGGCACGATCGGCTGCTGCCGCAGGTCAGGGAGGAGTTCGATCTTCTGCGGCAGAGCCTCGAAGGCGGTACGACCCGTCCATGTACACCCATCTCGAGTCGTGGGACACGCCATTGCCCCTGTCGGACGAGGAGCCGGAGAAGGAAGAACTTTCGACGTTGCCTCTCGCTAGCGGCTCGATTCAGTTGTGGTCACAGACGGTGCGAGCAGGCGGGTTGGCTCCTGACAAAGGGGGCGAGTTCACGTCACTGCTCCATTAAGGCTTGCAGGACGACGACGGCGGAGGAGTTGATCTGAGGTTCGAGTTGTGTTCTGGCGGCGGCAGGGAGGCGAGTCGTACGTTCATCATCGACGGAGATCGTTCGGCACGTGGCGTTGAGCATGGTGGAAGTCTGCATACGGAGCAGTCCACACTTCGTCACGCTGCACCCGTGACTGGCGAGGTCGGGCCATCGTTAGCGGGACGACAGCATGGATCGACTGCTCCGTCCGTCGATCGATTGACGCCGACCTGGCCTGCACCCCCCAGGGTGGCAGCAGGGCCCCTGCGCATGGGCGGTGCACGTTCGCTAATGCCTGCGTGCACAACACCGGTCGAATCCGGAGTGAGGGACGAGGGAACGTGCAGAGCGCCGGTACGTCCACGACCCACTGTGGAGAACATAACATGTGGAGTGTCGGACATGCGGGCACACAGCGATGGGGGGGAAGACGATGTTGGCTTCGGTGACGACGCAGACGAAGGGATGAGGGAAGACGTGGAAGCGGAGGACGACGACGACGACGTTCCAATTCGGCCTTTGGGGAAGACGGCTGGGAAGGGGAAAGGACGCAGCAGAGGTGGTGTCCGTGGTCCATCCGTTGGCCGTGGAGGCAGAGGTGGCGTAAGTGACGACGCCGGGAAGTCCCTGACGTACTGGTCTGCAGAAGACCATATGCTCCTGGTGTGATGCAAGCGGGAGCAAGATATGCAACTCGCCGGCTTGTCTCACAATTACGGGCGGATGAAGACTAAAGAGTGGAAGTGGGAGGACATGTCGAAGCGGATGGCGAATGCGGGGAGGCCGAAGGACGCTGACGACTGCATGAAGAAGTGGGACAATCTGTTCCAGAACTACAAGAAAATTCAGAGGTTTCAGAATGCCAGCGGGCGGCCAGATTTTTTCAGGCTGACGAACGAAGAGAGGAAGCAGCACAACTTCAAGTTCCGGATGGACAGGGCGCTGTACAACGAGATCCACGCAGACATGGTGGGGAACCACACGATTTTCCCACAACGTTGCCGACACCGGCAGTCCGGATGGGGTGCAGTTGCCCAAGCGAGGAGCGGGTGGCGGGGAGTCTATTTGTGGTGAGGCGGCCCGTGAAGGCTGCCCTGACGAGCGTTCCTCTGTGAGGGAGTCCGACAACAACGTAGGCAGTGGGGCGGGAGGCGGGAAGCGGAAGAACGCGCGTCAGCAGGCATTCGAGTCCATCTCTGATGTCATGGAACGCCATGGCGCACTGATGTCGTCGACGATCGAATC